TGTGTCTGGCTTGAGCTAGATACAGAAGTCATGAGAGCAAAGTAGGGAGTGAGTAAAACATACAGGAGGAGGTGTTCCTCATATTTAGGAGACCTGAGTCTAAGTCCCTTCTCTCAGGATAATGTCTGCAGTAGGTAAGTAGCGTTTGTTTTCTGCACCTCAGCTGCTGTGTTCTACAGTAAGGCTAACAGCAATGCCTTGCTAGAGCTTGCTGTAGAGAATACCAGCTCACCCTGGTTTCAAGGAGATACCTGCTGGGGTGGAATCATTGCAGCACTGATGCTCCACTTTTTTTTGCTGAGGATCTTGGAGTGTGGTTCTAGCAATTGCTATTCCAGACCGCTCAATTCTCACTTCTTTGGTCAAAGAATATAAGGAAGGAAGAGACCCAAGCTGGTGTGGTGGTTCTTCAAAGGATTGGTGAAAGAGTGAGTGAGTATTTTGGGCAGAGTGGGGAGGGTGTTTGGGTTTTTGCTTGCTATTTCTCCTTCTCTACAGAAAACGCAGAAGATTATTTGCATGTGTGGGCACAGTGGGAGAAAATGCCCAACTGAGATCCAAACAGAAATGAAACAGGACTTGCAAAGTTCAAAGCTGACACAAACCAAGCTGTTGCTACTGTGATGTGTGGGTGGGTGTCCCTTTTCTTCCTTTATTAAAAAAAAAAAACCAAAACCAAACACTTATATTTATTTGAAAAATGCATGCATTTAAATCAGCACACTGATTTTGGTGAAGGAGGAGAGAGATTTCTGTTCCCAAAGCCTGTTTTTAATCATCAGATGAATTTTGAGACAACCTCCGAACATTCAGCACTTGTGGTCAGTTTTCCCTGCCCAAAAAACTAGTGGTTTTTGCAGACATTCCATAAACACAGGAAGCTTTGACTGTGTCTCTAACAGATAGGGAGACAGAAAAGCAAAATACACACAGTATAAAGGCAAAAGCTAAACTTGCCATACTAGCTCAGAGGAATGTAGCCCAGAAGTCTGTCTCTATAGCCAGAGCCAGATGTTTCAAAGAGAATAATACCCAAATTCTAGAAAGTACAATTCTGACATGACCTGCCTGTGATTTAGATTTCTTTGTAGTTACTGACTTCTCTCCCTGAAGCATGGGACTTTATATTCTGCTTGTGTTCATTTCTTTGGAGGGGGCAAAGGGCAGCATAGAGGGCTAAAAAGCTGTGCTGTGCAAATTCCCGTGCCGTTTGGATTTCTGATGATCTCATCACTGGTCCTAATTTTTATCTACTGAAGTAGTAGTCTCATTTTTTTTCTGCAACTGTAAGTTTCATGGATTAACCATGTTTTATTCGAGTTCTCATCCTTTTTAAAATTGCTGTCTTCCAGGTCCTTCCTGAATGTTTCCTCTTTCTTTTAACATCAGAGTAGCCAGAAATTCCTGACTTTTTTCCTGACCCATTTGTTATTTTTATATAGCCTAATTGTTGTTAGTCTCCTTTCTAAAAGAAACATTTATGTTCTTTTTATCCGTGCTTTTTTTCCCATAGAGAAGTCTAGTTCCCTCACCAGTCTCTATCCTCAGCTGTGCTCTTAATCACTTGCTCACCAGAGCTGAAGCCACTCATACAGGTGAAGATGCCCCTTTCACTTTCAAATAGCTCTTTAATAGTGTAGTGATTTTCTTTTCCACTTGAGTACTAACCTTTTTTAACCTCATCAGCCCAGTGAATAGAGATTTTAACCAAACTGTCAACAATCAGCCCCCTTGAGTGGCTGTCCTCAGTTATCAATAGGTGAAATTCAGAATGTTTTTTCTGAAGTACATTACTTCCCTCTGAGAAGAATGTGCCCGATGTTAGTCTGTCACTTGGCTCATTTCTACCCAGTTAGAATTACAGAGGAGAACCTTTAACTGGGAAAATCTTCAACCATTTCTGATGACTTCTGTGAAGAAGTTGCTCTTGTTCAAGTAGCTGAATTGAAGGCCTTTTACTCACTCTGAATTTAGGGCTATGAATCAGAATAACTTCATATATTTTTAGAATCAATACTTTGATGAGCTTTCTCATTTTCTAATCTCTTTTCTAAAATTCTCTTTTAATGATTTCTCCCTTCTTAGTCAAACTGAACACGTCATCAGTGTTTGCCTGTTTGTCAACAGAAACCCCGTTCCAGAATCTTTTGTTTTGTAGAAAAGTTTCAAGCTAAAAAAAGTAAAGATCTTTCATGATATTATAGAATATTGGTGGTGTTAAAATAACAATGGAAAACAGGAAGAGAACAGTTTTACTTTGCAGTAATGTGTATATTCCTGCAGACTTTTTGGATTTCAGTTGCACTATCCTGTGGTGAACTCCTCCGCAAGAAGTTTTGTTCCACCAGGAGAGAGCTGCTTAATTTTGGGTTTGCTTTTGCTTTACTCTAACTGCCCAGTGTGAACAAAACCAAGTTAAAATACTGTATATTCTACTGTATTCTACAATTAGGAATTATAACATCCAAGGTATCAAATCTTTAACTGCATCATCAATAACTTGTGTTCAGAAAAGAAATTAACTTCTCATTATTGAGTTTCTGCTGGAAGCTGTTAAATTTGGTTTGGTCAAACTATCCATTAACACTCTATCCTGTTTCCACTTAAAATCTGACTTTGGTGTGTCCCTACCCTATCCTACTCCTGCTTTCTCATATCAGCTCAGCCTGAAATCTGGAAATTCCTGTCCCTGTGACTAATGGACACTGAGGCAGTTCCTCCCTGTGAGCTCTGCATCCCCTGCTCCTTTGGGTGTGCTTTGAAATCACTTAATAATAAAGAACAAAAGACTCTTCGCCCTCCACATTGTTTTAGTAAGCTTGCTTGCATGATAGCTTTAACACTGTACCATCATTTTTCTCTTTCCAATCTTAAGCCACATACGGTATGTAGAGAAATACCTTGTTTTGCCAGTCAGTGTAGTTAAATGGCAACATAATAGAGAAGTCGCATATGTTAAAGCAGTTCTAGTGATGAACACCAACCCTTCATCTAAAATCTGAATCCGCTGTTCTCAAGGGACCTGTCAGCAACCTTGGCGAACTCCCTGCTGACAATCAAATGTCGTCTGGCCCCACCAGTTACATGTTAAAACTGACTTAGATTGGGTTTTTCAAATGAGAAACTTGCAGTGTGTTTGAGTCCTTTAATCTGCTGAATCGTTGTTTTCAGTGGTATTTTTGGCTAATTCATATACCATAAGCTTCTATTGGAGATGTAGTCAACACCTTGAATCCAGGATGCCCAACTAGGTCACATGCAGATTTTCAAAGGCAGGAATAGAGCAGTGAGGCCCCTTTTCCCAGTAGCTCCAAGTGGAACAAGATGGCTCTGCGCCACCAATGTCCCTGAACCCAAAAATGTTTCACCCAGTCCTTCAGTTTTGCATTGTACTGATGAAAAGCTTGAGGGTTTGTGGCCAAAGATCACACATGTTGGTGCTGCAGACACAAACTGGAGCTTTTGCTTAAAATTAACGGAGTGGGGATTCTTTTTATTATATATATATTTTTTTATTTTGGCATTATAATTGGGTGTGGATAATTAAATACAATATTTTAACAACTTTGTTTAAGTAAAGGACCAGTATGAGTAACTATTACAGTTGTCACCATTTCTATGCTGTTTTTAGGGGATTAATATGCAACCACAGAAATTCATTCCAGGCAGAAACTTGGCATTAAAAGGTACAGTCCAGGATTATTTTGATTTTTTTTCCTTAAATTTGAATTTAATCCATTTGGCCATTTTTAAGTAGGAAAAAGACTTTGTGTTTTTGAAGGCAGAGATTCCTGACATAGTTCTGGTTTCAGAGGGAATATTTAGGGAACTAAAAGGGCCGCAGGACTCTGCCTCCTACCTTGCGCCCATTCTGCCTCTCTTTAGCAAATGTATTTATGTGTTATGTTCTTTATGTTATGTACTTTATCACAGCCTATGATAGGGACAGATAAAAGTGTAGTTGAAGGTTTATTTGTCCTCATTCTTTTTCATTCTTTTAGGCATTTGCAAAAGCCTGTAACTGGTTCTGCCTGTTGACTTTTATAGCAGTGGATGGTTTCTTTGGGAACTGATGGAAAATGACATCTTGGTTATACATTCTGCCCTCAGTGAGGGCTTTCTGTGCTCACGTGTAATATAAATTAAACATCCCATGATGTCCTGAAAATTGCCATCTTTCCCAGTCCTTACAAGTGTCTTCCACAGGCAGGTCATTTGCTCCAGAAATAGCTGAAAACCTATTGTGGAGACAACAGAAATTGATCTGGTCCTAATGCTCTTGTAACCACATTTTGACTGCAAATTTCTACTAGTCTGGGCAAGAAAAACTTACCTTTTGCACAGCAAATACTTCATGACTTCATTTAAAATAATAAGGGAACTCAGAAAAGGGAGAAAAATAAGAAAATATCTTCTTCATTTAGAGAGATTAAGAAAAGCAAAATTAGAAAATTCTCTTATCAGTGGAGAAACCCCAAATGGATGGTTCACTCAAGATTCTGTGAGCTGCAGAATGCTCAGCAGGGAAAATCACTCACTGACTTGTTCATTTCTCTTTTTATCTGGAGTGTCTAGTTTTGCTTTAAGCAGTGCAGGTTCTCTGCTGAATTCCAGTACTGAGTAACATAAACCCTGAGATTTTTTTGTAAATTCAAACAAAAAATGTGCCATGAAGTAACAAAGAATCCACTATTCTGGGTCTGAGTTTTGCTTCATGCATTGCCTGTGAACTTAGTGTTACTTATTATGCAGCAGCAGAAGTTGCGCTAAGATCTGAGAAAACAGATGTACTGAGGAATGAGTGCTCATGTTCAAATCATGAAAGAAGAAGAAGAACAGAACTGTAATCACTGTTTTACTGACACACAGAGTATGTTCTCTTTGTCAGAGGTTGCTCCGACAAAGTCTGTGGCAAAGCTGACCAGAGTCTGGCCTGCAGTCTAATGCCTTGTTAGTCTAAACCTTTCGTCACCAGCTGTATTAGCTTGAAGACAAGAGTCTATTAAAGGAATTGGTGTGGTTCCATATGGTTTCCAGTTCCAGTGATTTTAAAGATACTTTGTGTGGATGATAATTTTTCACTAATATTTTCTCTCTCTTCCCTTGATACTGATGCTGAGATATGCTGTACAGATTGCTAGAAATAATTAGGATATAACCTTGCTACACCAGCAGAGTAGTGGAAGACAGTACCTACTTAGATTGTGTACAATTCTTGCAGTGCAAATAGCATTTTCTTAACCAGTTTCAAACTTTTCACAGTATACACACTCAGAATCAGAAGCACAAAGCAGGTAAGTGGCATGGAAAAGCCACCAACTGGGAATCAGTGACAAGCTCTCACTTACAATAGGGTTCTTTCCTCCCTCCTGATCCCTGCAATGTTACATGAGTTTCTGTAAAACTTATAATTAAGAAAATCATGTCATATTTTTAGAATCCAAACCATGCAGTTACATTTGTCCTTGCTTATTATGTTTAAAGAACAAGATTCAAAGCTCTTATGAAGCTTGGCATTGTCATTTATTGAATAAATTATTTATTTAGGGGAAAAAAAAAACCCACAAATATTGTCCCCCAAAATGTTTTGTCAGAATTCTTGAGAGCTGAATGTCTTCATGCTTTGAAAACCAGTTGTTAAAGAAAAGAAACTGAGTGCAGGAAGGAGTGAAATTGAGAGTCATTCAAAAAGGACAAAAAGAAATAAAAAGCTTATTCTCAACACCAAGCTCCTACACTAATACTAGAATTGATTCACCTCAGATTGGAAGCAGAAGGATCCTATTGGTTTTGGTTTAAAATATAGTTTTCACTAAAATGAAATATCCCATACGTAACATTTCAGACTATCTTTTATTATTTCTGTTTTTAACATGTGGTGCTGAAGTATATTACCTCTCCTGTTTGTGGAGCACTCGCCATCCAGAACTAGGTATTTATCCTCTACATCCAGCTTGAGGTTGTATTCTGTAGAACAGAGGAGATCCTGCAGATGCCCTATTTAATTGGAGAAAACAATGGTTGTGTCTGCTGTGCAGAGGTTAGCCCCATATTGTCAAGCCCAGGTTGAGCTCCAAGCAAGCTGCTGATCCTACATTGGGCAGCATGGTACCATGCAGAGATGGTAAGCAGAGCCTGGTCCTGGCAGTGCTATAAGTGCTAGTTAGCCTATATACTTTTGTGTACTAATGTAGACAAACTTCTTCCAGTTCTGACACTTGCTTGGGGATTTTCACTAGGTGCTCATTATATGATACATACATGCCCGAAGGATCTGCAAAGTGAACCTGGCAGTAAGTGATGCTGTGGGAAGGGGAAAAAAAGAAAAAACAAACCAAACACTACCAGTTAAGTTTTAAATATGTCCTTGTCTCGAGTACAGGAAATGCATTTGTACCCCAGAGTATTACAGAAACAGGCACCTATATCTTACTTTCTATCGAATTTGGAAAGTACTTAGTGTGAACAAGAAGGGCTTGTGTGGTGCGTATGATGGACTTCTCTGATTTGAGAGGTTGTGGAGAACAACAGAATGAAATGAATGCTCTGCTTTTGCAAGGAAGACAACTGTGAAACAATTCTGTATTGTGCAACAGCACTGACAAAAGCATGGTGGATGGCTTTTATAATGCAAGTTAAGGTTTAGCTGCTCAGCAGGAACCTCAGCTTCTGACACAGGATTTATTTCAGCAAATCAACAGACTTAAAATACAACTTACTTGTTATACATTGAAATTCAAATATATTAGTAAAATGTTTAAAAACTAACCCTTTTTTCCTTATTGTTCACTTGGCATCAGTGTACACGTTACAGACCTGCTGTATGTTCCCAGTTTTATTAATAAAAGCTCAAGCAGACGAGCAAATGCTGGCCAGATCTTGCCTTATAAACCATTCAGGCTGCCACAGGGGCAAGAGGAAAAACTAGAAGCTGCCTGTACAAAGTTGAACTGGCAGTTTGTCAGGGACCCAAAAACTGCCTCTTGTTTTACACAGCTTAGACACATAGCAGTTGTCAGTTCTCAGCAAGGTCTTTAGAAGCAGCAGCTGTTGGCATGCAGAACCTCATTCCGTTGGTGATGAAAGGAGTCAGAATGTGAGGTCCTACTCATCTCTATAGCCTGGTGAGTGAGTCCAGAATATCTAAATCTCACTAACTCTCAGCAATTGTATTTTTGAAGCCTTTACTCTACAGCTGCATGCTAAAGAGGTGGTGAGCAGCCTTCAGCTTCATCAGGATCTGTATTTGATATCCTGGTGTCAGAAGCAGAACGTAAAGTCACACAGCCTGTGTGAGAAATCATCATCCTTTCTCATAAACAGTTGAAGTGAAATTGTAATCACCGAAGTAAGACAAAAAGGCCACTGGGGGATTCTGCCTCTGGTTAAGCTCACTGTTGGCTGTGCTGGAAAAGTGTGCAGTTGATTCTTTGTAAAATGTTCGCTTCAGCTATGAACTTGGAAGAGCCACTCTGGCAGGAGGGCTCCAGTAAAAGTCAAATTCTTTGCTAAGCTTGTTGTCCCTGTAGACAAATGAATGTTAGAATAGCTTCTCATGAAACTTTAGCTTCTGGCTGGCTCCTAGCCTGTTGCCCAGATGTAGCAGTTATGCCATTTAGTGCCAGTTTTCAATTCTACTTGATTAACAATTCATGCAGACCATGGGATGGTTGAGATGGATGTTAAACACACTGACATGCAGAGGATTAGCACTTCAGAAGGTTTTATTGTTGACACCTGCAAGCTGCTGTTCTGACCATTGTTACAGTGGCAGTGATTAGCTGGGTGATGTGTGACACCAGGTTCTAGGCAGATTTCAAACCAGTCTGTTGCTCAGTAAACTTGATCTGGGAATTTGAAATACAGAAGCCATTCTGCCTTCAGAACGAAAAAGAGCTGTGAGCTCTAATGTTCTGCGATGACCTTAATGCTTGAAACTACCATCTGCATGCTGAAATATGCATGTTGTGATATACTGCATTAGCTATAACAGTACCTTTGCAATGGGCATGAAGAGGCTGTCATCTCTGCTATTACCAAAGGGCTGTTGTATGGCAATCCCATGACAGCCTTGTAGCCAACATTCCATGTATCTTTCCCAAGCAAATGGAAAGCTATTCACATTGGCATCATGGTATGTGAGAGAATTTTAACTAACTCAAAGATGAAGAAAAATGAAGAAAAATTATATTCTTCATGGAATTTGACATCTTGTTATTTCAGATACTCTGTTTGCATGTGGTAATTTGGTTCTTATGTTGAGACTCAAAAGTATGTTTTCTGAGGGTTGAGGAAGTATATTCAAATTGGAATTAGTTCTAGGAAAATTATCCTGGAATTTATTTTTTCTATTAGACTGGGGCAGGGAGGAGCATGTAAATGTAAATTATACAGAGCTATGAGTTCTGTCCAAACAGCTTTCCAAAGAAAAATATCATGAAAACTAATGGGAACATCAAATAAGTTCTTTAACTAGAAAAGCATTAACTGCCAAGTAACTAGTGAAAAGTTTCAGAGTTACAAAAAAAAAAAAAAGGATACAAAGCTAATGACAGATTAATATGGATCTGTAATTTCAATGGACTCTATCTATTGTGTTTACTACTCCAGAATCTCATCTGTCGTATTAGTAACATGTCAAAGAACTCAGTGATATTAAGTGTATGTTTGCTATCAGGGAAGATATGAAAGAACAAGCTGCAGTGATGGGATACACGGAGATAGATGTCAGAAGGACAGAATTAGCACCTGGGCTACACTCTTACTTCCTTAACCGAGACTAAACACTTTCACAGTTCTCTTGCTGTGGCAGCAAGTTTCAGGCTGTACAAATATAAGGCCTGAAGTGCAGGGGATAAAGTATTGTTTGTTCTGCTACATGATGAATGATTGTTTATAAAATCAGGCTGAATGCATCTTTCTTCTCTTTCTTTCCTCCCAGAGAAAAAGAACTCTGAACAGATCAGAGAAAAAAACACCTTCCCTAGGTTTCAGCAGAGACTTTTCCCTTTATTTTTTATGACGTCTTTGTTGTTCCTTTGTGTATCATCTTGCTGACCACTAGAAAACTTCAGCTGGACCTGGCTGAACAAAAATTGACACTATGCAAAGGCACAATCAGTTGGGTTCTCAGGATCTTCCTACCGGAAAGGTGACTATTCAGATCAGATAAGAAAGATTACTGTCTTCCAGAAGTAACCTCCTTACATTGTGGGCTTACATAGTGCATTTTGATGATCTAATTACTCACTTTCTGGAGCTATATACACAGTTTAATTGAAATGGAATAATTGCTGAAGATCAAATGTAATGATAGCTCTGTGATCAGAAAGTTTGTTCTTCCCAGAGCTAGAGTCACACAGTAGAAACTCCCCATGCTGGTATTTCTTCTTAGCTAGGAATCCCTGAATATTGTTACCTAGTTTCCTAGATCATCAGTCATAGGAAAGTAGATTGGATTTAGGCTGCATGAACGTGCATACTTTCCTACTTTTGTATCCACATTCAGATTGTTGCCTTGTTCTGTGACATCTGAGAACTTCCACAAAACAAAAACTAATTCCTGACAGAACTGCTCATACACCCCATCTGATTCACTTCCTGGAGCAACTTTTTCTTTTATAGCCTTCTGTACTGCAGTAGTTGCTACTGCTGTATGTTCCCTGCTACATGAATTCAGGACATTCCTAAAACACTCTCAGTTTTCTCAGTTGCAGCCAAGAGAAGGGAAATAGCTCTCTGCCCTGGTATGTCTCTACAGCATCTCCCTCTGTATTCTTGTGGGAAGGGGTAGACATCAGAAATACCATGAAGTTTCCCGTCTCCGTTTTGCCAGCCCTGCTCTGTTCCACTATTTACTGTCATTGTATGTTGCTGTACCAATAAGATCAGTAACATAAACTGTTAGGATATGTAATGGTAACTGCTCTTTGTTCTGCCAGGGGAAAAAAAAGACAACTCCCTGACAGAACTGCAAAGCTATACTTCAGTACAGCTTGTAATCATGTAGATGTCGCAGTAGATGTTACAAAGATAGTGTATTTATCTATCTATAGCTCTAAGCATTGGCAAATGAACTGCTTAACAAGGATGGAACTATGTCTTTTGAAGGTATAGGGCTGCTTCTTGTCAGGACAGGGGGTCTTTCCACAGTATTTTTCTCACTTTGCATTCCATAGCACTGGGTCTGATATCATTTGGCACAGTGTAAATCGGAGTAGATCCATGAAATTTAATGCAATTTCTGCACAAGGGTAAGGTTATGATTGGCCTCTTTGACCAGGAAAGAGTCACTTCCTTTAGGATTTGCTGATTCACAGTTCTTGTCACCTTGGTGTCTGGGTACAGCTCATTTTGGTCGTTCTTTTTGTTTTTTTTTCCCTCCCCCATTACTTATTACTTGCAGTTTTCTGTTACTTGTCCTCTTCACTGTTGTTCTCCCTTTCATAATAGCATGCTTTAAATCAAAGTGGATTGGGTATTTTTTTACAAGGCTTTTTTTTTTTACACAAGATTACTGAGGTCAAATTCAAGTAAGTGACTTTATAGAGACTTCACTGAGTGGAACATAAATTCAACACTGTATAAATACAAGCAAGCAGGTTTAAATTATCTGTTTGTCCTTTTTTTTCTGGCCTAAATCTCTCTGAAGCTATAAAAAGAAGGATGTGGGAAAATATCTTACCAAAAGTGATCTTTTTGTTCCCGTTACTTTTCTGTTTATTTTTTTCAGAGAATTACATTAATAATTCAGAACTATCAGCTAAAACAAATCTGATTTAAAAGGAAAACACAACACAAAACCTTGGGAGACATGTTTGCTCAGCTGAAAGTAGCATTAGCGTGACAGGAGTCTTGGGGGGAGAAGGGGGGAAAGAAGACCTTCTCAGAGCTATTTTAAGATCTTAGGTCATGAGTTAGGTCATAAGCTTCTTAGCATTTGGTGTGGTATCTGAGTAGACCCTTGGATTATAGATCAGGGCAGGTGCAGAAGACTACTATAAATACATTCACCCTTGAGGAGTTCACAGATATCTTAAATGACAAATGGGGCAGAAACATATTCTGAAGAGGAAAATGATTAAATAACTTTAGAAGAATTTAAAGCTTTGTTTTCCAACAAGTCATCCAATAGTTCTTAATTATATAAGCTAAAATGCTCTTCACCATTACCTTATAAATGTTATAGAAAGCCTTTTACAGAGTTACAGCATATATTAAGCATGACTGGCATGTTCAGGGGTATTTCTGTAGCCATTTGCTGCCTACTGAGCTGTGCAGAGAACTGACCATCAGGATTCCTACCTTCTATTTCAGAGCTTCTTCTTGCCATAGAGCTGCAGCATATATGCCCAGTTCCCCTGAGGGGACATTTGGCCATTTATACTCTTCTTAGAAATGTTCTTCCTCAGCTTCCTCAGTGCAAAGCTCCCAGAGATCCGTACAGGTTAAAATACACTAAGTGTAGTGGTAAAACCTGCCAATATTCATCAATATCTATAGTTTTGGGTTTTTTTCCAGGTGAATGCAGATGTTTTCAATTTCCTATGTTTTGGTGATATGCCACACTCCTGTTGTTGCTCCCTTTCTCCAAAATGAACCTTCCAGTTTTATGAGGGCTACAGAGGCCTCAGAGACCTTTGAGAAATTAGTTTGTATTTTATTTGTATTTGCCTCCCTGTGAGGGAACACTCCACTTTTCAAATGACATATACAGGCTTAGGAGTTCACTCTGCCTGACCTAATTTGAATCCTTAATCATCTTTTAAGAGGCATGTTTCATAGAACTGGCAGAACCAGTTGTAGTATAAAGTTAGGTGTCATTTCCTGCATATTCCTAAAAAAAAGAGAGGGGGGAGGAGAAGAAGGAGAAAGAAAAGGAAAAGCAACTCCAAGGGTACATTTGAAGTTTTTCCAAATGAATGTATTCACCTACCCTTTTGTCTGTTACCAGATTCAGCAGAGCGAACGCCCTTTGACCAGCCCGATTCATGAACAAAAAACCACATCCTTCTCAAGGCAAATTTCTGGCTATACCAAGGGATATATGACATGACAGAAACATCATGATAATAAAAGGGTTCCAGCCCTGCTCTGGGAAATAATACCATATTGTGAGTAAGCCTGAAGTGCAACATCACCTCCTCATAGGAGAAGCAGTGAATTTCAAAATCAGAATATCCTTCAGGAATACCCTTGTTTCAGAAACAGAACATGCATCCTTATCTGGTCTTTGTGTTGGCTGTCTTGATTTTCTAAAGAGTCTGATTAAGTGAACAGCATTCACGATGAGTGCAGTAGGTACTTCCCAGAAGCAAACGGTTGCTGGGGAGTTACCTGCACCATTTGTCAATGAGAGAGAGGAGATAGCCACTGTGGGGGAAAAAAAAAAAGGTAGCAGGTAACATTACAGAATTGGTATGATGTCAGAAAAGCAAAGTTTGTGCTGCCGCCTTGTTTCAGTATGCAAAACCAACCCGTATCCAGTCTTTCATCACGTATCAATTAAAGAGGGAGAGACTATCCAAGCTAGTTGATTTCCAAGCCTACCTTTCTTAGCCAGCTGGAACAGAAATTTCCAAGCAGTTGAAATTGTTAATGAAAGGTATAGCAAGCATGTTGATACATGTCTCTACTTTTCATATTCTGTCTACAAGGAAAAGAAGAAATGAAATCACCATCATCCAGTGCAGTCCTATGAATACAGGGTTATCTTGATACAAACAAAGCTTTAACTGGACATTTTGAGGTAAGTGAAACCTCAACATTTTGTTTTGCTGCAGAGGTGATGGCATCCTCCAGGCATTTAAAAGAAACCCCTTTGAGTTCCTTTCTTTCTGCCCAAGTCTCAGTTTCTCACGTATCCCAGAAGCTCCTATGTCATGGCTAACATTCTTCTAGAAAAATGGAGCTGCATGAAATTCTTTCAGAGCCTATCAGCACCACTCCCAAATTAGCCAGACAGGATACTGTTTGTTTAATTTCACAAGACATTTGCTTTCCCCAAGGCTAGAAGAGCTACCTCAGTGAATTTACAGCCATGATACCCTACAGTCTTTAGGATTTTTTTTTTTGTAGCAAAGGAGTAAATTTTCCTAAACTAGGAACAAAACATATTGGTACCTAATGGGGACCTACAAGAAATATGGAAAGGGACTTTTTACAAGTGCACATAGTGACAGGACAAGGGGGAATGGTTTTAAACTGACAGTGGGGAGATTTAGATTAGCTGTTAGGAAGAAATTCTTCCCTGAGAGGGTGCTGAGGTGCTGGCACAGGGTGCCCAGAGAAGCTGTGGCTGCCCCATCCCTTACAGTGTTCAAGGCCAGGTTGGATGGGGCTCGGAGCAAGCTGCTCTAGTGGAAGGTGTCCCTGCCCGTGTCAGGGGTTGGAACTGGATGAGCATTAAGGTCCCTTCCCTTCCAACCCAACCCAGTCTGGGATTCTATGATTTCATCATGCAGTCAGGTTGTTGAGCAATATCTAACCAGGTGTCTTTTCAATAGTCACTACACTTAGCTCAGAATGGCCTTAATCTGTTCTAACTGGCTATATTGTAAAAAAGCAAGATAATTGCCAAGAGAAAAACAACACTTTAGAGTTGGCAGCAACTAAATCTGTGGACTTTTCCAATACTCTCTTGTTTGGTGTTTTTAAATACTCTGTGATGGTGCAATGCTGTTTATATTGTGGTGGGCTTAAATAGTATTTTTTTCAAACTGATAGATGGGGATAAATGAATAATACTGTGTAGAAAAGAGATTTTCACCCTCTAGAAATATTTTACTTCATTTTTTTTTACTATTCTCACTATTATTTTACTATTATTATCATAGAGGGTTGGCTGTTAAACCAATGCAGAGAGAAATCATCTTTTCTTTAAGTAGGCATAAGGAAAATTTCTGCTTTCCTATGGTCTTCCATGCTTTGTAGTAGCCATGCATGTGAATCCCTGCGCCCAGTGGAGAGCCTCCTTGAACTTTGTTTAGCTCATAGCTGAATCCAGAGTATGGCCTTTCTCAGGAGTAGGGGGAGATACCTGTTGGTGTGAACCCTGCTCGGGGGGCTTCGCTATCTTGTAGAGCTGAAGGTTCATGGTGCAGGCTGGGTTTAAGCTCTCCAGGAGCTGGCCTTCAAGGCCTGCTTTGCAATTCCAGCCCCCATTGCCCTGGCAAGTACAACAGGCCGGAAGCTGTAGAACATTCCCTCCTGCTGCAGAGTAACATCAGTTCAGCGGATCAGTGACAGCACCAGGGAGGAATTTTCTGCTGCAAGTACTAATTTCTTTTTGTGTAACCCAAATCCTTTGGGGCTTGTGCACGTCCATGTACTTTCTGCACTGTACAAGGGAGCGTGTGGCGTGGGGACAGAGCGTGTTGGGTCTTGCTCACTGTGCTGAGTTTGAGAGACCCACCAGAAGCAAAAATAGGTCTCCACTTAATTATATGTTATTTTGTTAGCTGTCTCTCTCTCTGCTGCCTGTCTCTCGCTGGTGTTGCAGGTTGGAGGGTGAGAACCGCTTCTCCAGCCCATTTCTTTGTTACAGCTTCTCCTGGGCGCCACCCCTCACAGCTCTCGCTACCCCCAGGAGGGCAGCCAAGCCACCGCTGTCCCAGCTGAGGGGTGTTGTAATTCTCCTCTGCCTTTTCTGTTTCAGTTCAGGGTTTGGCCCCTTGCATGTCCCTCCCCATGGGGAGCAGGGAGTCCCAGCGAGGGTGCTGGACGTGGGGAGCATTGAGAGCCCTGGCAGCTCTTCTCTGCCCCGGCACGGCCTGGGAGGAGTGGAGAGCCATCCCGTGCCCCCGATGGTCACCTCCTCGGGGGTCTGTGTCACTTCTCAACCCCTTCCCCGTTGGTGTGGGAAGCTCTACCCTGCTCTGACCACAGCCTCGGTGCTCGTCGTGCCCCGCGCTGTACTGCCCGGCCGCGACTCTGGCACCCGAGCCTGCTGCAGCCTGACTTCTCGGCAGAGATGCCCCTTCCCATTATTCCTCCTCGTCCTCTGCCTCTGGCTGCCGAAGGAAGGTCTTACAACGCCTTCGTTCGGTCCGTGCATCCAGTTAACCCCTCTCTGCCCCTCCGCTATCCTGCTTCAAAACAGATCGACTTCCACGGGTGGGAACGGCTCCAGAGCAGGGCTAGGGCCGTCCGGATGCCCCTACTCCTTTCTTCTCTTTTTTCTTTCTTTCACCCTTCCCAGGAGTAGCAGCAAAACGTCCCCTCTCTGCCGATTTGGAAACGGGAACAAATTGCTCCCCCGCCTCACCGCGCCCATCGCATCCCATATATAGTCAGATCTACGGTCAAATGGCAAGCAGCAGCGAATGGGAGCGCTGAGCCTCCCAAAAAAAAAAAGCAGGGAGAGGGAGTGAGAGAGGGAAAGGGCAGGGACGAACGGAGGAGGGAGGGGAGAAAAAAAAAAAACCTTTCCAAAAAAGTATTGGATGTCTTGAGGAATGCAGTCGGCCCCCTGGGAAGGTACATATCTGTGAGGAGCTGCCCGCCCGCCCGCACTCCGCCGGCGCCGTCCCGCTCGGATCTCGGAGCAGCCCCGCACCGCCTCGGGGCCGCGCCACGGTCTCGGACTCCATCGGGGCTGTCCCGCAACTTCCCAAGTTCTGCTTTCTGGTGCAGTTCGCGCGGGGACGCGCCTTAGCCCACCGCCGCCATGGATGCCATCAAGAAGAAGATGCAGATGCTGAAGCTGGACAAGGAGAACGCCTTGGACAGAGCCGAGCAAGCCGAAGCAGACAAGAAGGCAGCAGAGGAGAGAAGCAAGCAGGTCTGCACCGAGTGCCGCGGCACAAGTCTTTCCAGACGACTCCTCTCTCCTGGGTTTTTTGGTTTTTGTTTTTGGTTTTTTTTCCTTTTTTCCCTGGTGTATGCTGCTCCCCTCCCCCCGAACTAGCAGAACTTGACCTAAGGCAGAGCTTCACCCTGGTAGGATTCCTCCCCTGGCCCCAGCAGCCTAGCTGAGAAGCGGAGCCCTGGGACAGCCGCATGGCTTGTGCCTTTGTCACAGGGGCAGGGCTACCGAGGCTTCTTCGAGCAGTGTTAGCAATGGACAGACGTGCTGCCATTTGGCAAAGGACACTTAAAGCTGTGTTCACCCCCTCCTGCACCACCCAGCAGACTTGTCCAGTTGCAGCTGCCCCCCTTCCCAGATGTGTATCCCATTTTCCTGGTCTTCTCCAATCCCCCTCCTTTACACCTGGGGCTTTATTTATTTGGGGGAGGGAGACACATTGGTTGCACATTTCTGGAAGATCCTGGAGGAGGAGGGGGGAAGGGAGAGGGATTTAAACTTCCCACTTTTCTAAGCCCAGGGAGAAACATGCTTGTGCGTTGTATTTCCTCTTGTGCACCTAGTTAGAGGATGACATTGTGCAATTGGAAAAGCAATTGCATGTGACGGAGGATGCAAGGGACCAAGTGCTGGAAGAGCTGCACAAGTCAGAGGATAGTCTCCTCTCCGCAGAGGAGAAAGCTGCCAAGGTATCGTGCCCTTGCCACAAGCAAAGAGAATCTAACTGTCTCTCCTTCTCTCTCTCTCTGTCTGTCCTTTTCTGTCTCTTCTGCACTCGCACTTCTCCCTTTGCACGATCACGTTGCCTGCTGCACCTTTTCCTGCCTGCCCTCCCCTCTCCACCACGTTCCACCCGTATCACAGCTGGAGGACGAGCTGTTGGCTCTGCAAAAGAAGCTGAAGGGCACTGAGGATGAGCTGGACAAATACTCCGAGTCCCTTAAAGATGCACAAGAAAAGTTGGAACTGGCTGACAAAAAGGCCACAGATGTAAGTTACCCCCATCCCTTTCACCACCACCACCCCCCATCCCGTACAGAAACCACACACTCCTGCACAGGACAGCCAGGACTCCTACCAAGCAGTGCTCCAAAGCTTTGCTGAGGGCAGGGTCCAGGCCCTTCCTGGGCAGGGAGGTGGGAAACACAGCACTGCCTCCTTGCATGAGGTTTGCACACTATCAGAGGCATTTGGTTGGGTTTCTGCTCACTCGATATGTGCTTTTCCTGTGTACTTGCCACTGCAGGCATCAAAGTAAAGGGCAGATTGTCCATTCAGGTGATGGGGAGAATGGTTCAGGCTGGAACAACACAATCTGGATAGTGAAGCAGAATCAGACATTTAATAGTAGATCCAGGAGAGGGAGATCCAAAAGAGCAAGGGCTGCTAGGTCTGTCTTCAAGAGCGCTGTTTCTAGGCACTCATGTGTTAGACCTGCTGCTAGATACGAGTTTGGCTCACTCACTGGTCCCTGAGATAAAAGATTCTCTCCTACTTTGTTTGTTTCCTTTTAACCTGGAAATCACTGGAACTGTTTCACTTGTCAAAGAAAAGTTCAGTCTCATGTGAGAGAAAGTTGTGCAGAAGCTGATACTTGCTAGGCTTGCTGTTCAGAGGACAGGGACCCTGGGCGCAAGGAGATATATATAGCTCAGCACTTTATATGGTAATAATGCAAGAGCCTGTGCGTCTCCCAGGCCTTCATCCCACCCACCTGTCTGCCCCTGACATGCATTTAATGTATTGCATGCATGGAACCATGTGAGTTTCTTGTCTCTGCTGTTGAGGTCCAGCTGTCTGGCTGCTGCTGTACAATCCAGTTCCCTCCAAGTAAATCTCAGCTCTGAATTACAGGCTTAGGTGAAAGCACAGTATTTCCAAAGCGATGACCTTCCTTTTCCTGTAACTGAGCTTTGAAAATTGTCAAAGCTATAATAAAAAGAGGAGTTGCCACAGATGAAGCAAGTAAAGTATTTCGGGGGTAAGGATGCTTTTAGAAGGGGAAATGTATCAAGCCCCAACTTTGCATGAAAGACAAGCTGCTTTTATCTTATTTTACTTCTAAAATGAATGAAGGATAAAAAAGTTTAACTTCAGTGTGGCAATTAAGTTGTATAGCTTTGAAAGAGAACTCAAGAACTTAACGTAAGCGTTAACATAGGAACAGGAGTGAGAGGTTCTGTGTAAAATGTGGATCAGATTGTCTGTCATCGTCTGTGTATGGCTGCATAGATGAGAGGCAGCTTCCTAGCAGGACGTTTATTTAACTTGTTCAAAGGAGCCGCATATAGATCCAGGGGAGATATTCCTTATAAGGAAAAGTATGCAGACTATTTGGAAATAGCTCGCCTAGGATGAAGGCAGGAGAAATCCTACTAGAGCCCCTTTTTGAAACGAAAGAGCTTCCTGACCAATCCCAATGCCATTTTCCTTTGCTGGGAAACAGCATTTGGAAGCGAGTGAAAGGCAATTGTATTTGCAGTTGTCCCTCAGGTGGAGGGTAGGCAAGCGTTTGTCTTGTTTTCGTGGAGGTAAATGCTGTATTTAATGGTATGTATGGAATACATCTGATGCTTTAAGGATGTCTTTCTTGTTGGCGATGCAGAGTATCTCTAGGGCATTGCAGTTGACCCAGTATTTGCCCTACTAGTTTGGATAGTTCCAAGCCTTAGGAAAAGGAGCAGGGGAGGGAGCACCGGCTCCTGGGGTGGCCTCGCCTTACGCGGTGGGAGTGAGGAAACCTCACCTCGCCGGTATTAGTCACCTCACCTCGCCAACGCCGGGCGCATCCCCTGAGCCCTGGAGCCACCTCACCCGGGACACCCCGTGTCTCAGGAGCTGGTGTCACTCCACTGCTCGCACTGGAGCGGTTCAGGGGCGGGGAAACGGGCCCCGGCCCCGGCCCCGACCAGGGACGGCTCGCGGCAGCTCGCGCTCTGCTCCGCCAGGGGGCGCTGCCGCCCCAGCCCGCCCACCTGGCGACGGCGGCCGCCGCCCGGCGTGGTCCAGCCTGGCCCGGCCCCGCCGAGTCCCCTCCCGGCCGGGGTCGGCCTCTCCCTGGGCCTGCCCTCCTCCCTGCCCTCCCCGCCGGTGCGCCGCGCCGCTCCCAGCTCCGTGCCCGCGGCCCCGCCCCGCTGTGCGTTGCGGCGCGCTGCGGGGGGAGTTCCGGGGCTGAGGCAGGCGGTGCTGCAGGCGCAGGCCGGGCGAGGCACGGGTATGGCGGCGATGAGCTCGCTGGAGGCCGTCAGGAGGAAGATTCGGAGCCTGCAGGAGCAGGCGGACGCCGCCGAGGAGCGAGCGGGCCGGCTGCAGCGGGAAGTGGACCAGGAGCGGGCTTTGCGGGAGGAGGTAGGGCCGGCCCGGCTGGGCTCGGAGGCCGCGGCCCGGTGGATGCGGGTGCCGGTGGGAGGCCGACCCTCGCTGCTTTCTTGTCGTCGGGTCGGGCCGCTCCTCCCTGAGCCGCCGCTTCTGACAAAATGGTTACCTGCCGGCGCGGAGGGCGGAGGCCGCGGCTCCCGGCGGCAGGCCCGGGCCCGCAGGTGAGGGTGGGTCACTGCAGTGTCCGCCGCAGTGCTGCGCTCTTCGGCCCGGTAACCCGAGCGGCGCGGGGGGCACGTAAAGCTGCGATGTGTGTCTTAGACCGCAGTAGGTCTGCTGCTGCCAACAGCGCAACGCTGAGCTGGTGTGAGGTTAAACTTAGGTGAGATGTTTGAGACCGGGGCTTTGTGTTAGGTTCTCAGCAAGCTTTAGTGATACCCTCCCCCCTAAGTGGTAGTTGTCCTCTTACTTCATCCAAACGAGTTCAGTTGTGGGAAGTCAGCACACCAACTGTAAAGAAGTTACGTCCTTAAGACTGAACCTGAGAGGGCCATGTCCAGGTACTTGCCCACAAAAAACGCCACAATACAGTCCCTGTCAGTGGCTATCTGTATTATGTTTAACTAGTCAAAACCCCTGGCTAAGATGGAAAAGGAGCAGTAGATACGGTTTCAGGCAGAGACAAGAGCAGGTATGGTCAGCACAGAAGAAGCAGTTATGGGAGGCAATTACAGCAAAACATGATAGTGCTGCTGTTGGCCTTGCCCCTGACCTTGGGCAGTTCTACCAGTCGTAAAATGTACAGTGTTCTTTGTGGTGGTTTTGGCGTCTTCAGTGGTTGTGTGAAAGTGATGCGAAAAATATTTCTTATTCATGTAGTTTATTACAGTAGAAAAACTAGTGACTGTTAGGTTTCTTTATAATAAGGGGCTTTCTGCATGTTTTGGGCAGCAAGTTCAAAGGAAGAGCCTTCTCATTACTTGCAGGTGATCGTCCCAAGAAGCAAAATATGGCTTCTTGCACTTGTGTAACTGCAGCATTCTTGCAAATCACTTCACATACCTCATTTTTTTCCAGTGAGGGATCATGTCACAGTCATGAACTTGTTTCATAAGGGTTTCTGTCTTAAAAAAAAAAAAAAAATCCCTACTTGTTGTGTAGTAAAGGACACCGATTTTCCAACTTTCAGTAGCATGTATTGTTCTAAACCATATATTAAGGGATTTCCACTAAAATGGGAAGCTTTGCTCTTACCTTTTGTGTCAGAAGGAGTATTGCTGGAGAAGTGATTACAGCCTTACAGCGGTAATCTGGTGAAGTCATCTTGTTAGAGCTCAGCCATGTTGCTGTAAGACTTAGGATCCTAAAGGTTAATGTTTCTGTCCTCCCTGATGTTGGTTTATGTGGATGATGTGAAGTTCTGCAGAGCACATTTACGCGGTATTCAAGGTTTTGTTTGCGAGGTCAGTGCTGGGATGAATAGAGGCAGAAAACTGAACTCACAGGCACCTGCAGACCTGTACCTCTTCTATAGTGTTAGCTGTGTACTGATTTGTGTCTTGTATTGTGTGCAGCTGTATTCCTGTGTGCTTGATGAAGGGAGACTTTGAGAACATAGCAGCAGGCAAGCTGAGGTGTGAATCTGACCCTTCCCTTAGTGCAGTGCCTTACACGTGTAGCATGTGACCAGCTACAGTTGTCCTGTGGTTTTTTTTTTGCCTTTTCTTTCTTCCTGTGCAAGGTACGCATACACAAACAATGAAAAAGCTAAAGCTGTGGCCAAAACCTATCCCAGTTTACAGTGTTTGATTGCTAAACCAGATTGTTAAACGTTCCAAGGCTCTGATTAGCAGCCTTTGCCTTAAAAAAGAATCTCTCCTGGTTTGAGTGTGTGTGTCTCGAGGGGCTATTGGTAATCCTGTTTTCAGAGTGCATTTTTCTTCCTCCGTCTGGAGAACAGAATCTCCCTTACACCAGTAATCATTAACACCCGATGGTAATTTATCCTTGTCATTGCTCATTGTGGAAGTATGTGGTGTATAAGTGCTATGGCAAAAACGCAGAGGATTGTGTTTGTCTGTTAGCTGTGGGAGTGCCCCATAATGTCACTGCGTTTTTTTTCCTTTCTAACCAAATAAGGAGACAAGCCCTGCTCTGCAGGGGAATAACTTGGGCCATATAAGGCTGGTTGGTAAACCCTGACTGAGGTACTGAGCAGGAAGTAAAAATTTGAACTTTAGTCACCCAGTGTTTTCTGAGCATACTGTATGCTCTTATCATGATGAGGAGTCTTGACATGATAATAATTAACTTGTAACATTACATATTTCCCAAGGGTAACATTTGTGAGGGGTTGTTTTATTTCCCAAATGAGGATGTTCAGATTCTTACTATTTGAAACCAGAAGTCTGGAAATACAGGCTTGGGGTACTACTGCTTGATTACATAGCCAAAGATTTTATATTCGTGTTAATGTGGATCTACATGATCACTGTCAATACTCGTTAATGTTCAGATACATACTTGCTTCCCTGTTGTCTATTATGTTAAAGGTTGTTGTACTTGTCTGGTGTCTAAGTTAGTATTACTTGGTTTACGTACAACAAAATTTTAGTTGTGGCCAACTGCATCCAGCTGCGTGGGGTGAGTGAAAGCAACAAAGAACAGTTCTTTACATATTTAATTAAATTAAAAATACCAAACTGATACTTTTGGTTTCTGGTTTTGAGGATTGTTCCCCCCACCCCTACAGCATAGGAAGTTGAGATGTGTACTTCCTTATCTATAGCAGCATGGTTTTCAGTAGTGATTAAAAGTAACTTATTCTTGGAAGTAATTAACTTTCTAGAATAAAGACCTTATTGTGTATATATATTTAGTGCTTAACAGCCTTTTGAGAAAAATAAGGTTTAATAATGAGGTTATTATGAGAAGGCTGTAACAGAACTTACTTTGCGACTTAAATGTACATTTGAGAAGGTTAGAAGTAAAAGTTTGTAATGATAAGAGACAGAGGAGCTGCAAGTGTTACACAGAAGATGAAATGAACTGGTAATGCAAGAGAGGCAAATCTGGGGGAAGCTTGAGAATGGCAGTGGGGAAGAAAGATGTTATAAGTGATTGTTGCCTGCACCAGGGCCCTTCTGAGATGTAGCCTTTGCTGGTGCATTCTCTGTCAGCTTGCCTGTACACAAACTTGGGGTATTCAGGCATTTCTTTCATGTTCTCTTGCTCTCTCTGTGTTAGCTCTCTCATTGCAAGTATCAATGTAGATGTATTTTTGCATGTTTATTCTGAGCCCTTCTTATGGAACTCAAGGAAATACTGCAGCAGTTCTTAAAATATGGCAAGAGGTCATAAATAAAGGATTTGGGATAACAGAATAATCGAGTAACTAGTTTGTGTTGATTTGACTGACAAAAAGGCAGGGGGGCACGAACTGTTAATGTCTGCAAATACAGTAACAGAAAATGTGTGGGGAAGGATACCTAATTCTTCCAGTGCAGTACTTTCTGGTACAAATTGTTAACTCCTTAATGTGCTTCATTTAGAGGAAGCATTAATCACTTTTTCCTCTGTTAAAGTAATAGCTTCACAATTCAATGAGGGTGTGTACATCTCTGTATGGGCTTTTTAGTGGATGAAGTCAGAAATTACTGGATGCCGCTGTTAAATGGTGCTGGCAAGTATGTGGGATAATCTTTTACGAGAGGTGATGTGTGCCTTATTATGAATTAATTTCTGTTCTTCCTGTGCTTAGGCTGAGAGCGATGTAGCTTCTCTGAACAGACGCATCCAGCTGGTTGAGGAAGAGTTGGATCGGGCTCAGGAGCGCTTGGCTACTGCCCTGCAGAAGCTGGAGGAGGCTGAGAAGGCTGCAGATGAGAGTGAAAGGTGGGTGGGGCCACTATTGAATGGATGGTTACCCTCATGATAAAGATGATAATTGCCAGGGTGTGGGTTAGGGAAATAAATTAAACCACTCCTGTGTCTCCAAGTATGTGTAATCCACTCTTCCCTACATGGACTTCGGTTAAAGCTTGTCTGTAGGGATGTCCAAAATGTTGTAGGCTTGAATTCTTTTCCTGTCAAAGTTGTAAAGATTTAAGTGGGGTAGGGCTTTTGATATATCCTGCTACATCCTGGGAAAACTACTTGGTCCAGTCCAGATTTCTGTGTTTGGATGACAACCTCCTGAGGGTGATGTGATGTGCTGTCGGGCAATTCTTGATTTCATTGTGGGTAGAAAGTCTCAGGGGGAGAGAAGCAAAGTGCTGGAAGAGGCACACAGTTTTCCCATTGGCAAGACTGGTACATGAAGGTGAGCAAAGGATTAGCATAATAATTCCTTCAGGTTTAGGCTGGGGTTTCCAGAAGTACTTAACCTAAGTTAGCAACATAACATTTGTGGCTTTGGAAGACCTCTTTTACTTCTATAAATAGTATTTTATATCTGTGATAGTACCTTTTATTGTGAAAGGATCTTACGTATTGTAGGACCTGCTTGAGCAAGTCCAGAGGAGGCCACGGAGATGCTCTGTGAGCTAGAGCACCTCTGCTGTGGAGACAGGCTGAGAGAGCTGGGCTTGTTTAGTCTGAAGACTCCAGGGAAACCTTAGAGCAGCTTCCAGTGCCTCTAAAGGGGCCACAAGAAACCTGGAGAGGGACTTTTTACAAGGGCACATAGTGACAGGACAAGGGGGAATGGTTTTAAACTGACAGAGGGGAAATTTAGATTAGACATTGGGAAGAAATTCTTCCCTGAGAGGGTGCTGAGGCACTGGCACAGGGTGCCCAGAGAAGCTGTGGCTGCCCCATCCCTGGCAGTGTTCAAGGCCAGGTTGGACACAGGGGCTTGGAGCAAGCTGCTCTAATGGAAGGTGTCCCTGCCTGTGGCAGGGGTTGGAAATGGATGAGCTTTAAGGTCCCTTCTAACCCAAATGAGTCTGTGATTCTGTGTATTCTGCATACCTATTTCTGTCTCACGAACAGTGCAGCCTATTGAAAAGCTAAAGTGCCTGAGTCTCTGCATTGTGAAATAGTTAAGAGCATCGGGGACAAATGTGCATGGAAGGGGCAGTAAGCAATGTTTTGTGTTGTGAAGGAGTTAAACTTTTCTTATGCAGAGCAGAGAGCTTCAGTGCTCTAGGGCTCTGACAAGGCAAAACTCACAGGAATCTGTTTGGTGTATAAACATAATGCCTGTCAGTCCTGCAGGGGTTGTAACATGCTGGTTCATGGTGAGTGTAAAAGCACAGATGTCTTTAGTCTTTAGCCATCTTATTAGGTCTTTAGTAGCCAGACCCTTTATTTACCATTCCATAAGATCAGTTTTCCTTCAGTTTAAAATGAAAAAGGATAATACAGCTGAACTGTGGTAAGAGCAAAATTAATTTAATTTTCTGTCTTTTGAAGACATGCTTCTTTCCTTTGAACTTCTGTAGTGTGATGCATAGAACTGTATCTTATAGTCGAAAGCATCAAATGTCTGATGTGCTTCATTCATCTGAAAGTCACACTCCATTCATAGTAGAGCTGGAGATAAACTGGCAAGTCCTGAACCTTGTATTTCCCATTTGTCCCATCTTTCAGAGGAATGAAGGTCATTGAAAATAGAGCCCAAAAGGATGAAGAGAAGATGGAAATCCAAGAGATCCAGCTTAAAGAGGCTAAGCACATTGCTGAAGAGGCTGACCGCAAGTATGAAGAGGTGATTTCTTGAGTGCAGGTCATCTGTTTCTGGAGCACTTTAAGCTGTGCCTGTAATTCTCCCACTTCCCCTCCCCAGCTTTTCCTTGCCTGTTTACCAAAAAATGGGAAGACACCCAACTCCCTGCTTTGTAGGTGTAGAAACTGGTGAGGTGTGCTGCAGCAATGTGATATCCCTGACTGTCATTTGCCCTTTCCTGTAGGTGGCTCGTAAGCTTGTGATCATTGAGAGTGACCTGGAGCGGGCTGAGGAGCGTGCTGAACTATCAGAAAGGTAAGTGCTGAACTGCCCCAAGATGTGTGTGAGGTGCTACAAGACAGCTGTAACAGCATGAAACAGTGGCAGTTCACCGTTTGTTCAGCTCAAAGCTATGTTTTGCTCATTTACTCTACTGGTCGAAATAAATGGTCAACGCCAAAGTAAACGTGTTCATACCTGTGTGTGCGCGTGTGTTTTGTCACTGCATGCTGTACCTGCACACTGATTTTGTGAATGGCTTTTGTGCATTTCATGTGTTCACTAACAGCCAAGTCCGACAGCTGGAAGAACAGTTAAGAATAATGGATCAAACCTTGAAAGCATTAATGGCTGCAGAGGATAAGGTACTGATACTAATGAACAGTTTCTAGGTTTAACTGCAACCCAAGGTCTTTCAGCTTCCATAGCCGATTAGCTCACTCAGTAGTAACAAATTAGTCCTTGCTACGCTCTTTCCTTGCATCTTGCTTTGGTGGTTTTCTTTGGTCTCTTTTTTGTTTATTCATTTTTACCTTTAAAACTGATCTCTTATGCAGCCAAAAAGAAGCTGAACTGTCTCACGTGTAAAGGCTGTGTAAACATTTCTGTGTAAGCCAAATGCTATAGATAATTGTCTGGTTGTTGTCTTAATGTACACTTGAAATGGAATTTGGCATCACAAAGAGTTGCTTTCAGTCTGTGATGGATTCAGCTGCTTTTGAGGCCGTTCTTTTGCTCTTTAATTGTTTTCATTTTTCTCTATCTTTTCCCCCTGTTTTCTCCTGTTTCTTTTGCTTGACTGAATCTTCCATCCGCCCCTTTCCTGCCCTCCTTCCGAAATAACAGCAAATGTGCTGAGCTTGAAGAGGAGTTGAAAACTGTGACCAACAACCTGAAGTCGCTGGAGGCTCAGGCTGAGAAGGTAGGCTAGAGACTTATGTGAGAATGTGTCCCTTACACTGTCATCTGGATTGGCCAGAGGGTTTTTCTTTATATGCTGATCACTTGGCAGCCTTTCAGCAAGGCCATTGTCAAGTATTTGGACTTAGTGGAACCTAGCATTCCTTCTGGTTCAAATAGGTCAGTATATTTGACCACATCTTCTGTTAAGTAGTCTGACAGGATTAAATATTACTTATGGGATGTCCCTTAAAATGGCACTTGTGTGCTAACATTAAATTTCTCCAAATGCCTCTCCTCTTTAAAACTGTAGTACAAATTTCTACTCGAGAGTTTCCACCCTATAGCACTGGAAAATAACTCATGAGAAGTTTATAAACTGTGTATTATCATAGTCTGGTAAGTGGAATTAATTTAGTTATCCCCTAGTTATATTAATTTCCTGTATGCAGCTGGTCTATACAAGAAAGTCTTGAAAGTGGCATTTTGTGGTGTATATATAGAATACTTTGTCTAAAATCAGTGATTCTCTTTCTAATTACAGTACTCACAGAAAGAAGACAAATATGAGGAGGAGATTAAAGTCCTGACTGACAAACTGAAGGAGGTAAAATTAGAGCTGTTCTTTATAACAATGTAACTTTGATTCTTTTAATACAAAGACTACTTCGATGCTTTAAGGATGAGCATGTAATTTAGAGACAGTTTAGTGTTTAATATCACCTGAAGATTAGTATCACCTTATTGTTTGCCTCCTTTCATTGCACTTTTTTCATTTGAATTGTTGCTCCTCTATTCATAATTGCTGTGTGTAAAAGACTAAAGTAGTCTGTATTTGTCTTGACTTCAGGCTGAGACCCGTGCTGAATTTGCTGAGAGGTCAGTAACCAAGCTGGAGAAGAGCATTGATGATCTAGAAGGTATGGAGTTTTTGGTTTTTCTCACTTATTATAGAATTACAGATCTCTTATTCTTCTCTTGGTTTTGTTTTGTTGGGTTTTTTTCAATACCCAACTCTACTCACTTAACTTGTCTTGCTTATATAAATGTGTCTGCGTAAAGATTAAAATAGGCAAAATGGTTCTGATTGAAATGTATTGGTCACTCAGATGCTTCAGGTGAAGTGTTTTGCTCTTGCCTGTTCCTTTTTCTCTCATGTTCTCAAGACTCCTTTCATTTTTTTGCTTTATAGTCTTCTACTTGGAGGTATATAAATGTATAGGGTAAATGAGAAGATAAGTATTGTTATTATCTTACTGAAGAGCTGAGTTATGTTTGTAACGATTGGGAATGTGGTAAGCTAACCTGATTTATTACTGTGGTAAGTTGTGGGTCAGGGCAGGCATTTTGTGACATAAACCCATTGCTGGTTTTCAGTAAAGCTATTAGGCTGTATACATAATCAGAAGGACAAGTTATTTAACTTCAGAGAGGTTTAGGGTTTTGATAAATCTTTCAGAACTGCAATAGAATATTAGAATGTGCTTCATAATTAGAAGTTATGTGGAGTTTACTATTTAGATGCATTACACTAAGTTGATTTTAAGAAGCTTGATTGCTTGACATGGCAGGCTGACTTCTACATAAAGGTATGAAATATCTAGGTAGCTGCTGAAAAATAATGATCAGTGACTCAGGAAGGAGGGAAGGGAAGAAATCATAAGTGTTCAGAAGGAACAGAAATTGCTGTAAGAAACTGAGATTATGACATCTTACAAACCAGAGGGGTTTAAAAAAACCACAACAAAACATGGTGGAAAATAAATGGTAGTGTCCTTTTTGGGGCCCATTTTTTATCTTTTCTCCCATGCTCCTGTGTGCCCTCCTAATGTGTGTTAAAACAAAAATCCAGGGCAGTAAAACATGGATTTCGCTCCCCTTGTACGCTTTCTTGCCTTGGTTTTCTCTGTATCGCAGATTGCCCCACCGGCAGTGCAGTTAATGAACTTGTCACATAAAACTATACAGTAGTGATTTCTTTATTGTTCTCTAATGCTGTGATTTTTGTTTTGTCTGTCGCAACACCTCTTTCTGTTCGCTCTTCCCCTTCCCTGTGGCCTCTGGATGGTATCCCATGCCACCACCTCCACCTTCCATCCTGTGATCACGCTACCTTTCCTTGCACACCTCTGCCTTCCCCTGGGGGAATGTTAGATGAGCTATATGCTCAGAAACTGAAGTACAAAGCCATCAGTGAGGAGCTGGACCACGCTCTCAACGATATGACTTCCATGTAAATGTCTTCCCAGCTTGTGCCTGCACCTGCTTCCCTGCCCTCATTGATTGTGCAGTTCCAGCCTTGTGAAATTTTACTCCCTGTGTAGCGGGAGATGCATTCTTTTAATGAGACTAGGTGTACAAAATACCATGAACAATATCTTTACCGTGGCAGAGTGTGGGTGAGTTTTGTGCAGAGCCTGGTAAATACTCATGGTGATTTTGTAAGCTGCCTGATAAGCTTGTGGTGCTTACTCTTTCATTCCATATCTGCAATCCTTGTGTCTTGTAGATGCCCTTTGTAGCTCTGCATTTATCCTTTCAGTTCACCTCTGTTCAAGCACTGCCTCCCAGGCCCGTCACATTCAGTTTACCAAAGAAAACTGCCTCTATACTTGTTGCATTCAGAGTGTGTTTTTCTGAAGTCACAGGTTTTTTTTCTGGCAAAGTTCCTACACAAGTTTCAAAGAAGTTTAGAATTAGCTGTATCAGTGTATCAGCTGTATCAATGACAGTGGAAAGGGTTTATCTAAATTTCCTTAACAGCTCTGAAAATTTCAGCTGTTATCAGTAAATTCCAAGTGTAGAAATTGGTTTAGAACACTTTGTCATTTAAACCATATCAAAGTGACATTTGAATTGTAGGTTGCTTCTGCATGTAGTGGTAGGTGTATTTTGCATATACTGAAAATGTGGTAGTATCAACTTCAGTCATAAGGAGAAGATAAAGAGTGTATTAGGTGGCAGGAAAGCAGTTGTATCAAACACTGCACGGACCAGTTGCAGCTTACAAACTGACTCTCCTTCCATCAGCCAAAAGCTCTGAACAGAGGTCAGCTATGCTAAATCCACCTTCCCATGCTCATACCTTCCAGTTGCATGAGCCCTGTAAAGTTGGCATGGGAAAGAGGAAGAGTTGTGGCTCTCAGGTGCTTGTGAGGGGCAATGTTTAGTCCCAGCATTTCTTTTGGAAGCCAGCATGCTTTCAGCCAGGCATAAGCTTTGCTTAGAACTTGAAATGTATTTTGCATGCACCCATATTTTAGATGCTTCTTTTGCTTTTTTCATCCCTGTATCCATTCATTACTTCCCTCCCTCTCTCTCCCAGCTTGTTAGTAGGGTTCTAACATTGTATGCTTTGTATGCTTTGATTTATTTTTAGGGTTGTTTTTTTTTTTTAATCCCCTTCCTCTCCCCAAAATTGCTTTTGCTCAGTGGCTTCTCAAGCAAATGGATTTCTTTCTTCCTCCTCTGTGTACAGAGAATTACAGTATTTATTCAATTTGGGATCTTTCTAAGTGGAAAACAGACTTTATTATGTACTCTACTGGTACATGAGGAAGTGACTGTAACATTCCAGTCCCAGCATGGTGTGGTGTTTCCCTAGTAGTCATCTTGGCATGCTGGGCTCTGCTGTGCTGTTACTGCTTTTTTGGGAGTCTTTACTGCACCTTTTTTATTTCCTACCTTATTTCACTTTTTCTTTTCATGCAGATAATTTTCTTTGCTTCACTTCTGCAAAGACATCTTCATCGGGTTGGATAAAACATCTTTCCAAGCTTTGGATGTTTCATGGGTTCATTGTCCTGTCTTCTAGCTTAGTTGACTCTATTTCTCTAGCACCTGTCTCAGAACATGCTCTGTTTGTGCTCTGCTGTACAGAAACTCTACATCTCTCAATGTAAAATAAACATCCCAGCTGTATTCCCTTTGCTATTCCCTTGCCTTTTATTTATTTAAATAACTGTTTCAGTTTTAATAAAAGTTTGCGCTTTTTTGCCATTAGGGTTTAAATTTTTTTTGGTGTTTCCGTTTTCTTTCTGCAAACACTTTTGCCTGGGTGTTGACAATGCAAAGCCAGTGCTAGTAGTCTATGGGAGTCAGAACTGACCAGTTATGTTCTCAGTCTTTTTCAAAATCTGATGTAGATAAAACAACAAATAGACGTAATGGGAATTTTTTCAGCTGTTATTGTTAGGCCAAAATCTGCATGGACACTGCTCCCTTGGGGTCACTTGGTCATGGGAGTGTGGCTGGAGAGCAGATGTGTCCTTGGCACCAGATTTTTCACTTCGAAGTCTGAAATTTTTCTCCTAGCTTGGTGCTGAAGACTTCCTGTCTCTATACAAATGTGTGAGATAACTTAAATGTTTGAGACACATTTAAAGGAGCAATATAAAAAAACTGTTTGTTTTTTTTTTTACACCAAAATAGCCCTTTCAGTGTCTTACAGGAAAGTTTTACCCGCTTTCACACCTCAGTCATTTAGCAAAGACATTGCTTGCTAACTTTGTTTCTTTTTTACTTCCCTTGAATGGCGTGAGAGCATGAGACTTCAGCCGTGGTTGGAAGTTCAGCAGGGAGATTTCAGTGTTTTTCCATTCTCATGCTTAGTTCTGCAAGTTTGAATTGCAGGCTCAGGAGAAATGTTTCAGAACCAGAGTAGGAAAACTCTCATCATTGATAATGGAATAATTCTGCTGCAAAGTGAAATACACAGATTTGTTTGAAAGCCTAAGCTTTGGCTCTGAGTTGATTTGATGGTCCCTAATTAAAGATGGGCATTAACTACTGGCACCTTGCTTTTTTTGTACTGTTATTGCAAGTACAGAGTTAATTGTGCTGTTTTAATTTAATTTTCTTCACAATGAGAGAAGTTATTTTCCAATTCACGTTGAAGTGAATCAGTTTAAACTGGATTGATTCCGATCATACCTGTCACTGTATATATTGCTCAAGTTCTGAAGTCACCACAGCTAAGTAAGCTCATCATAGTGTACCTGACTTTTAGTTTTTAGCTTGTAGAATAATGTGAATGTGTCTTTCTGTTAAACCTCAAGATTATTCATCAGTGCAGTTTAGGCTAGATTAACTCCCCTCCTTTACTTGGCTTGCAAATGGGTGCATTGTCCTACCCCTGCCATTCTCAGTTAACTTTGTCTCATTCCAGTTTTTGATGCCATGATACATGTCCTTATTTTATTGGCTGGGGGGAGAAGCCCAACTACAGGATATTTATCTGCAGTCATAGGCAGCTTGGATAATAAGGTTCAATAACTTAATAGTCATCAATTGAGATGCAGTAAGTGGGTGTGTAAAACATGTGTGTTGCAACTGAGAAGTAAAATGTCTGATGTGAAGATTAACCGGATAGAATGGGATGAGCGTTTGTAAAATGGCTGAAGCTAACATGGATAGCTTCACAAGTGTAAGGGTCAGCTATCACTTGTCAGCTGAGCCAGAGTAACTTATGCTACAGCAACTCAAACCTCTCAATCTATTGTGTGTTTTGGTTTATTGTATTGGCAGTAATTGCAATATTATTGTTTCTTAAGAGAAGTAAAAAAGGCAAAATCCAGTGTAGGAACCTGGTAATTTTTAACACAGTAATTTAGACCATCAGTATTTAAATCTTCTCTTTTCCTTCAAACACACAAAAGTCGGCTCTCTGCACTCTAGGGTGATGCATTGCTGGACAGAGTACTGGAAATGGGCAATGCAGCGCAGATACCCAGGTAGCTGCATACAGAATTCCTAGCTGGCCCTGTTCCACTCACCTTGTCTCCACTGTTGGGATATTTCAGTGCTTTTGTCACTGTTGTACCTGACCTGTGCATTCTGCTGTACGTCCCACCAGGTCTGGCCATGTGTAGCTAGTCATGTGCATGAGGCTTGTTGACAGAAGCACAAGGCTGGCTCTGATGTCTTGTTTGCCTGGGTGCTCTGCTGTGCTGAGCTGAGCCTCACTGGGCCTGCACCAGAGCTTGAACTCCCTGCTTGGCCTAAGGTGGCTGCTGACAGAGCCAGCCCTTGGCTCTGCCTCTGTGGTAAAGCACAACCCAGGCATCGTGCCTGTGGGCAGACAAGGGCTGACTGTACACTTGGTAATGCTTTCCATGATTTTCATCTTGTACATGGAGAAATACTGTAAGTCTCTGGCCCAGAGAGTTTTCTGTAATGAAGGTAAGCATCAAGTTCTTAGTTCAAATTATGTTGTCATGTTTGAATAACAACTGAATGCACTTTGCCAAAGTGAAATTTTAATTACTTTGAGGTTTTGATATTATTTCCACATATATGTGCCGTTGTCTGGGTAAGAGAGGCAAGACCTGGTTGTTACCAGTCCAGCGTCAGAGCTCTGAATTGTGCCCTGGTTTTACTGATCTGGCTGTTGGTGTTTGGGCTGGGGAAGACGCTGTGAGGAGTTGCCGCTCACTGCACAAGTATGACCTACAGACCAGCTCACTGCACAGCTTTGCTGTGTCCAGAGCCTCCAGGGGAAGAGGATTTCAGTGGAAGCTGTTAGGAAGCTTGTGGAAAAGAATCAGAAACAGTCATTTCCTGTAGGGGAACAAGCTGGAATCATGAGGTCAGGAGTGCAGTTTGACTCTTGAGAAGAAAACACAGATAAAACAAGACAGCCATAAAGCATCATGGAATGTTCTTTCACCCTGCAGATCAACTCTCACTAAATGCACTGTCACAACATAGCTGTGATTGTTCTCTTTGAATGTGAACTGTCCTCTCCATTTGCTGTATTTGAGCAACACAGGTTTTCATGCTTCCATTTCATTTTCACTGAATGTTTGGGTTTGTTATCTTGCAAAGTGCAACTGTACAGTTTAAAGGTATCAAAGTGTGTTGATACAAATAACAGAAGTATGCTTCCATACTAAAAGTGTCATTTCAGCTGTCAGATTCCTCAGGGAAGGGCAGGAGCTGAGTTAGACCTAGTGGTAGGTGGCTACTAGCATTTCTCCTGCTGTTTACTTGCCCTGGTTGTGACACAGTTGTTTTCCCTCCACTGACAGATGAGGTTCTCCCTCGTCTTACTAGGTCTTAAATAGTTAACAAAGAAAAATGGCACCCAGAAAACAAATCTTCCACACACTGTACATAAAGATTAAAGCAGGATTTGGTTCTCCTAGGAATATGTAGCTGCAATTCTTCTGTCTTTATTCCCACTCACCTGTCTCACTGCTGTTCCCCACAACAGGAATCTTAGACAATTCTTCATAGCTTATAATAGCTGTTCATTGGAGTAGCTTCTTAATTACTAGAGTTCTAGAAACAAAGGTAAAATGTTTCTCTGTGTGTTACTGAACTGTCTGTGGTGTGACCAGTTTCTTTATTAACTCTTACTTAACTGTTTTCTCTGTCTAATCTGTCTTCATTCTGCCTCTTTTTTCCCTTCTAACCTGCTTGCTGCCTGTACAGACCAACTCTACCAGCAACTTGAGCAAAACAGTCGCCTAACTAATGAACTAAAGCTGGCATTGAATGAGGATTAAACTTTAGTGTGACTATATTGTTAACTTGTTTTAAAACTGCTTCTTCCAAATTTCCTTAAGAATGAATCCCTTAAGAATGAAATATAGAAATAAGCAAGAAACGTAGAAGTTGATTTTTTTTTTTACAGACTATTGATTCTGTGGTAAATTAATGGATGAAATTTTCAGTTTCGTTTGGAAACATATGAAAATGCTTCTTCTGGATGAGGCTTTTCATTATCTGTATGCACACCTGTTTGGAGGAGCAGTAAGCTCTTTGGCTGTATAGTAGCTTCTTCCCACTTCATTAAACAGCTACAGTATTCAGCTGACAGTATCCAAAAAGTAACAGCCTTCCATGTGGAGGGGCACTCAGTTCACCTGACATCATGAATTGGCCTTAAGATTTTCACTAGAACATGGATGAAAGAAAAATGTTCACCAGGATTCACATTTCCCTATTTCAGAAGAACATAAAGGATACTTATGGCTGGTTTGCTATCTGGAGACTTTAATGTAGTGATTTTGCATAATTATGAATTGGGCTGGTATTGACTTAAAAAAAAACCAAACAAAAACACCCAAACAAACAAACAACAACAAAACCCCTAGGAGTGGGAGCTCCATCTGCAAATCCTTGGTCAGTTTGAAGGTATGCTTGCATTAGTCTGAGGCTACTATTACTGGATTCTGGTAGGATGCATCTCTAGAACATTGTGCTCATTTATTGCATCAAATAAGTGTGTTAAATGACTGTCCTATAAAAAGTGTGCATGCAACATAAGGCTACTAACTTGGATTTGAATTATTTTCTAGAATATATAGATTTCTTAATGTCACTTCACTGAGATTAGAAGAGATTAGTTTTAATTTTGTCTGTTCTTTGCAAGCTCTGAAGTACATGAAGCTTTAAGCATGGATCTGCAAAGAATTTAATTCTTATTGCCCTACTGAACAAGGGGGGAAAAAAGGGATTCTCCATCCCACATTCCTATGAGCAAACAGCTTCCAGAACATGCAAGAATTGTGTTTCTGTTGGCAGTGCGTTTTCTTAACAAATGCAGCTGTGAACAGTTCTAAACTTGCATTACTTGCCCTTCGTTTTATTAATTTGGAATTCTCTAGTTCTCATCTAGAGATGAGGATTGCATGCCTTTGTGTTCTGAGAACCAGTGCCTCCAAAGAACTGCTATTCATGTTTTGATTTTCTAATCCCACAACAGAGAAAGTGGCGCATGCCAAAGAAGAAAACCTTAGTATGCATCAGATGCTGGATCAAACTTTACTGGAGTTAAACAACATGTGAAAACCTTCTTAGCAGCAACCACATGATTTGTTTATTATTTTTACACCTGCTTGCCGTGAACCCCCATAAATGTGTCTTTTTTTTGTTTGTTTTTTCACCACAGTCACAAGAACATCTGCTAAATTATCAGGCAGGGGTCAGGGAAACACCAAAATGGGCAAGCCAGATGCGGGTTAAACTATACTACATTATGGTTTAAATGTGCCATTTCCCAACCAAAATGTTACCTACACTTTGTAGAGAGTTCACCAGCTCAATATGCTTACTAGTCTTTTGAAGAATCCTGGCTGTGACAGAAAGTGTACCTCCTCAAGTGCCAACTACAGCTTATGACAAGAATGATGTATGTTCCAGAGAGATCAGGTGGAAATGGTGCTATTTTGAACAAAAGGTTCTACTGAAGCCTTTTGTTTCATATCAGACAAGTCAGGAGTTGTCCAGCACAGTAATTTATTTTTATCAGAATTCTGTTGATCTGTGAGGATTTGGACTTTCTGTGCCTTCTGATTCAATAACACAAAGGTATGTGAGCAACAGAGACAAGTGAAGGCTTCCAGAGTTCTTAATATTGACTTCTTGCAACTCAATACAGAAGTGTAGGTCAGCATTTCACCTTGAGTTTTCATGCGATTGTATTTTTCATGTTGAAATGAAAGATTCAATAAATTCAGGGGAAACCATAAATTTGGAAAAGATTGTTTCAAAAATGTATTTTATTTGTGTGTGTTTTGGGGAGGGGGAGGACTTTATAAACCGATATTCGCCTCACTTTTTTTCACACTTTCTTTGAGCAGTTTTAAAAGTATACCTGTATGTAAACATTGTATAATGATATGGAATAAAATGCACATTTTAGGACATTTTTTAAATTTTGCTCTCCTGTGATTTGTTTCTCACCACATTCACTTCCTGTGTGTGTCAAACAGGCATGTGTGCCATCTGTCTCCATGGGATGTACTGTTAACATGTGGGCTTTCAGGCTCTTTCGTGCTGTTAGGCTAATGCATAAAAATGCAATGAAATTAAGTAGTTTGGACTGATGTGGATCTGCAGCTCCTATGAGGGGCCCTTTGAGGACCATATTGCAGGAACGTGTCCCTGTCCTAGTTGGCTGCAGAATTTACCTGTTCCCAAACAAATGATAAGAGCTTTCCAAAACTGACCAAAACTCTTCTGTAAGATCACTGCAGAACTCACATAGACTTCTGTAGGAAATGAGCCCTAAAGACCATGCCCTTGGAAACACTGCCATGTATTTGTGTATTTTACCTGTTAATGTGTTAATTTACTTTGATACAGTGACAGACCTTCCAAAATGATTAGTCAAGTTCACAAGAGATCCTTTCACCCAACTTTTCAGTGCTGGTTGCTAATTTCTGCATGTGTAGGTATCTTTATTTGAATTACAAGCTCTGTCAATGAGCACTTCGGAACTTGAAGAATAATTCTTATTCCTTCTTTTTCTATAGTACATTGCTGAAAGTTAATGCTGTCAACCCTTCTAGAAGCAAGGAGTTCAGTAGGAGACAGGCATAGATAACCTTCCAGATCATCAAAGAATCTCCGTTAGTGGACCCTTAGCAAGCAACTGACTTTCAAGCAACTTAGCAAGCAAGCCAAGAGACCTTTTCAGCAGCTGGTGTAGTGCCATAGGGTAAAGTAATACATAATAATTTCATGTTAAATGGGAGTCAGAGAAGGACGGTGTATTGGTGTTATATATGTCTGGCTGGTTTTGAACCTAGTAACATTACAAGCTTTTTCATGATTCATTGGCTGCTGCCAAGTTATCCTGAATGGAAAGGATGAGCTCTTTGACTTCACATTTCCTTTTAAGTGTTTTGGGGAAGCAAAATACATGTCACAAGGCTCCTGCAGTGCCTTAAGTTGGTACTGGAGGCTGACAGTCTAAAGCTCCGAGTTGTGCAGAGGTAAGTTATTGTCATCTCTTTCTCCTTTCTTAGCACAAGGGTGGAAACTCAGGTCATTGGGCTCTAACAGTGGAAGCCTCCACATGCTTGCAGCTCTGAGTGGTGCTGCTGGAATCAGTAGGGCTGCTTCCTGTAGGAAGTGCTGTGCTGGATCGTAGTTTGTAGGGTAGGGCCCAAGGCCACCCAGAGAGTTGGAGGCTGTGCTGGGAGCCAAACAGGAGTTCCTGGCACTTGGCCATTGAGTCTGACACAGCCCAGTGTTCTGCCTGCTCCACCGGATTGTTTTTATGGTCCTATGATCTCTGCTGGGTCCTAAACAATGTGTCTGAGTGAGGTCAGACCCTTTGTTGGTTGCTTAGAATTGCTGCTTTCCAGGAGACCGCAAACTGCTTTGTGGTTTGGGGCATCTGAATTCACCTCTTACTGTGTATAAGGGTAAGGAGGAGGCTGTGGTTTTCATGTCTCTTAATGAGATCATGTCATCGTTCACAGGGCAAGTATGTGCAAGCAAGGAGATAAGAACTAATCTGAAAAAAGCCCCAAACCTGTAGAATAGGCTTCCCTCAAGTGCGCTGTTGCAGGTGAATCTATAAAGCTTCTTAATAGATAAATAAAAAGCTTTCCAGTTCCAAGGGAAGCTGAAGGGAGCAGTGACCATAATGGTGAATTACACATAGTGGCATTTTTTTGCTGACTAGCAACGGGTACATTAAATAAATAGGGATAATGATGTATTTGCTGGAGCAGGAAAATCTGTTTCTACCATGTATCGTAAGCCCTGCCCATTATGGATTCTCTGTATGCAGTGCCTAATCAAGCAGAACTCAGTGAAGGCAGAAAGTATTGGCTTGTAAAAATGAATAAATTGGGCTCTTGACTCCATTCCAAAGAAATGGGCATTTCTTCCCCTTGCAGCTACTTTGTCTGAAATATTGTAGAACAGACTTGTAAAATTACAGAACCCTGCATCATTCATCATTCCTCAAGAGGTGTGTGAGCTACTCACCCTTTTCTTCAATACAAAAACACAAGTTGCAGTTTGAAATACACCATTATTGTGCAGCCTGGCTGTGTAATTGTCTTGGTTGTTTTGTGAGTTGTGTCTCAATGAAATGAGTAGTTCTGAGAGCACCAGAACTGGCAAAACCTGCCTCTGTGTCGATTCATGTCTTGTGGTTGGTTGTGAGCTCGCAATGGGGTTTTTTTCGAGTTACTGAGACATTTGAGCTGTCTCTTGCTCCTTCATGGGATTTCTCTGATGTCTAACAATATGCGAGGCCTGCTGCAGGGTGTGCCTGGCCTTTCCACCCAGTACACTCATACATAGGCTCTTTCTATCTGAATGCTCCCTTACATTCACAAAACTGGCAGAAGTGTAAGTTTCCTTTTAGAGTTCTGTGTGGTCAAAACTAGTTGTTCAGTTCAGGAGTTCTTGAATGGGATGAGAGAGAGATAAGGACATACAAGTCCCTTTTCTTTAAGAAAGAAGACTAAAGCAGTAGCCTGCACCTAAAGAGCCCAGCCTCTCAGAGCCCTAGCACCTGAGTGAGAAATCTGAACCTATAAGGTATTGTGCATATTAACCAGTGGCTGTTGTCATTGATGCTACTCATAATCAGGGTTAAATTGCAAACTTTGCTATACTGCTAATGCTGTAGGAATAATGCTGTTACACTGGGCTGTCTACAACTGCTGCCATGCCTATTAATAGCAGCAAAAGAATAAAGTGATTAGCCAACTAAAACATTTAAAAACCATGATAGGAGGTACTTTTTAAATGGCTCAGCACTTAGGAAATCAGAGTATTTTTATCCTCAGATGTTCATTTTGTGTGGTCTTTTTGTTTTTCTTCTGATTTCTGAGTTTTTAATATTAAAGTAGGAGCATCATTGAAAGATTAGGTGAGAATTACAGGAAAAAGGTCAAAGCAGCAGAAAACCAAGGATAATGCTTTTTATCTTCATGGAATTTTATTGAAAATGAACACAGGAATAGTTCCTTTTAATAGAGGGAAGGTGTGTAACATACTTTCTTCAGTGTGTGTTGTGTTCTTTCCATGGAAAACCTATGCAAGTTTACATAATCTTCTTGGCTTTGGTTGCAAACCTGTCTAGTAAGTCATAGCCTTGCTAATTTGTATGCTGTTGCTGGGAGTTGCATAAATGCAGGATACCCCCACGGTGACAACAGCTTAGTGAGCAATCTGCATGTCCCAGTTAGTTAATTTATATGAGAGCAGAAGCAATGGGAAATGGAAGCAGATAGAAGTCTTGGAGACGCATAAAGACCCTTTGTTATTGCCTCACTCGTAATTTGCTGAAATGAAAGGACATGATGTAGTATTTTGCATATGAATGTTAATGGCCTTTGAGGGTACCTCAGCACTGGTTTCTTCCTATCTCTTTGCTGGTTTGAGGAATGGCTGGGTAAAGATTCAACAGCATATTGTCATTAAAAAAATACAGCCACCACAAAATCCTACCTAAACATCTCTCATCTGTGTACAACAAGAATATATAGCTCATGGTTATAAAGGGATGAAACATGTTTGGGGCCACAATCATGCAGAGTATTTTGAATGCCTTCTATTCCAGAGCCTGACCATGAGCTACTTCTCAGGATTATTCCTTGCATCAACACTGTTGTCATTTTTTGCCCACATGTCAAGGAAGCACCTGTGTGATCCAGCCCTGCCAAAGCTCATGGCAAACTGTTTCTTTGGATAAAATCTGCCAAGGTCTAACATGTAGTGATAGTTGTCCATGCTACTGAGGAAATCATGCAGGTCTGGTGTCTCCACAAATAGAATTTGTGAAAGAAGAATCAGGAAGGTGAAACTGCAAAGCTCTGGTAAGTTGTTTTAGCTTGCTTAGGTCACATTGGCATTGACATTTCCAGTTCAAAAATAGAGCATTTGTATGCAAGTCCACCAATAGTTTGCGTGTTTCTCTTGACAAAAACACTAGTTGGAGAAACAGCCTGTGAAAATGCTTCCGAATCTTTCCTGGATTATGGTTTTCTGTAGCCAGCAAGGAGGGGCCTGCCAGACTTCTTCCCACTTTATCTAGCTTGCTGTACTGCTTCCTTATTTGTTTTTAGACGCATGGAGACCATGAAATAGGCGAAAGGGATGATGTCATTTGTGCAGGCTGTTCAGGAAGAAAAGTGTATCTAGAAGGTGAACTAGGCACGAAAGCAGTTAAAAAGGAAAGAAGATAGAATTGCACATGGGTACTAAGGGCCAGTCAGGAGGGTAGAGAGAGCATGAAGGTGATCTACAGGAGAATAAAGCCTCCTGCTCTAAATGCTGCTGCATAGTTTACCTTGTCCTGCTCCTGTGCCACAGCATTCCTCTGCCACAGAGGGTGGTGGCTGGCAAAGTCCAGGTAACAGCAAATTCTTTGTCACCCCTCATCTGGGTTTAAAGTACAATATGCAGGAGCTTTTCCCTTAAAAATCAATAGAAACCCTTCCTCTCAGTGGTTCTTGCCACACTAGCAGAGTCTGGTTAAAGTTTTCTGTGCTCAGATTTTAGTATCATTTATTACCTTTACCAGGAAATCATGACACTTCAAAAGGAAAAAAAGGATCACTTTTTGGTTTTGCTGTTTTTCAGCAGTTAGCAAACACATAACAAATGCGTGTGTGCTTTTGTTGCACTCACATGCAGCCATGTATGAGCACAAGGCATTTCCTGGAGATTAATAACTGGGTGGAAATGATTGTGGATACAAGAGGCAGCCCAAAGGACCCAAACTGGTTGTTAATCCATGGGAGGCTTTCTTTGCTGAGACTTACTGTTGTAAATAGAAATAAAAGGGACACAGGCCTGTGGAGGAGAAGCGGAGATGTAAGATTGCCCTTTGAGCAATGAGATTGCTGACTTTTCCCTCTGCTTCCTCATCAGTGTGTGTGCTGCTTCATTAGGAACACTACAG